TACAAACTTGTGGATATCACCTGTCTCTGTGTGCTGAAACACCATTGGTGACTGAAGCTGCTGTTATCTCCTGTATCATTACTAACTTCCACTGTGTTGTATTTATTCACGTTGAGTGATGCTGGTCACTCTACTGCCTACTCATACGTTTTGTCTTGATCTTCTTGAGACATACTGATATTCATGATTTAAATAATCTTTTTGTGGATGTTCAAATTGCAAAGATACAATGCGAAATGGAATGGGTAGTTGAAAACAAAAAACCGATAAGATCTACATAGAAAGGTTTGAGAAATTCCAATAAACACAGATATATATTAAGACTAGTAAATCACTGCAGGTGGTTAAAGACACTGGTTTGTGTCAAATTTCTGGGCATCCCAAAATAGGTCTAATTAGTAATATGTGTAAAACTTGGAGACTGTGGTAGAATGTGGTTCCATATTACATTTGTTTATTTCATATATGGCGGGTGCACAGTGATACAGTATTATTTACTGGATGACGTCTCGAGCATAAATTATCATTCCTCAGAATCATATCAACATAATAACTCCACTCTCAACAATCGACTTCCATAGTCTTATCACCTCATATCATTTATTTGCATTGGATTTGAGCACAGTAGCTTTGTCCCACACACACGCACCATCGTGTGCTTGTGTGTTTATGCATCCACTGTAATAGACAAGTCTTCTTCTAGACTATTCATCTTATTCAGCTCTGTCATTCTATATTTAGATAAATTCCCATCTTCCACCACTCTAACTGACACCGACCGACCAGTTTGACTTATGTACTTGATCTCACAGTCATTACATGGAATTCGGTAGATTAGATTATTTTGCTGGATTGGTTCTATGGGATCGTTAAGCCATCCGACAAAGCTTATCTCGGAGTGACTTTGTATGTTTAAATATCACTCTAATACCATACTTGTTGAGAATCCTATGTAAACTTTCTGATGTTCCTTCCTCATAGTGTAACACAATGGAGGCTGTGAACTCCTTTCTACTCGTGTTGTCTCTATTACTCCTATTCGTATTACTGTTGCCATTTTGTTTCTCTCATGTTCGTAAGAATTTCTTATAAATAACAGAGGTTAATTATTAATTATTGACATTTCTTTTATGTTTCTCAATTCCTTGTTTAGGTCCTTAGAGTGACTATTGAGTTTTTTATCTGTGTCATTCAGACATTTGACTAAGGAAGGAACATCAGAAAGTCTGGTAATAGGGTGACATTTAAACATACAAAGTCACTCCGAGATAAGCTTTGTCGGATGGCTTAACGATCCCATAGAACCAATCCAGCAAAATAATCTAATCTATCGAATTCCATGTAATGACTGTGAGATCAAGTACATAAGTCAAACTGGTCGGTCGGTGTCAGTTAGAGTGGTGGAAGATAGGAATTTATCTAAATATAGAATGACAGAGCTGAATAAGATGAATAGTCTAGAAGAAGACTTGTCTATTACAGTGGATACATAAACACACAAGCACACGATGGTGCGTGTGTGTGGGATAAAGCCACTGTACTCATATAAGTCCAATATAATTAGGTGGAGAGAGAAAGAGAAAGAGAGAGAGAGAGAGAGAGATTGATTACTGAATCTCCGTTCATCGAATCAACACCACCCAACACATTTTATAAGGATGACCCAACACCTTTTGCCGAAGATAGAAAACTTTACTACACATAAAAACAAATAACATGAAGTGACAGGACTATAGAAGTCGATTGTTGAAAGTGGAGTGATTACACTGATATGGTTATGAGGAATAATAATTTATGCTCGAAACGTCATCCAGTGAATAAAACTGTATCACTATGTGCCATGTATCAAATAAACAAATCTAATATAGGTCTTGTTAGGCCTAAGGCTATTGGTTATCGCAGTACTAACTTATTACACATTCTGTTGAGGCTTCTTAAGTGGAATTTATACGTCAGGAGTCTTACAAATGGGCTTCATTTGTTTCATAACATCATTAGATTGATTATTTTAGTAAGAAGCGACTTTTTCTCTCACAGAACATATACAGTATTCGTCAACGACATTCGAACCAGTTTCTTTTTCTCTGTCTATTTCAATACAAGCAGAGTAGAACCTGGAGATCACTTTGTAACTTTAAACAGCTTGTTCTTCCTCAAGTTCATAAATTTAACTTACAGCTAGCTTCTTGAATTGGGAATATAGCCTCTTCATGAAGAATGACCATTGAAATAATCTTTATCAACTCACAGCAAAAGACAACTGTGTATTTCATTGGTACTAGAAGTTGAGGGTTCACTTTTAACACTAGTGTATATAACAATTGTGATATTGTCTGTAAGTCATTAATGGAACAGATGATTGTCTTAGAGGACCACTTCAAGAGGCTTTGACTTGAAGTCTGATCGACAATGCAGTAGAGCAATTTAATGTGTTGGATTTCCGTAGCTGCCACAGACTTAATAAGATTCGTATACTATTCGTTCATCGTGGAATTTTAAGCCAGTGTATCCTGTTGGTTTCAGTAATCCTCCTAGGTAGGCTTTCTCTACCCATCAATCTGGAGATAAGATTTGAATATCCACTTTCACCCTCTCATTTTTGTGGACACAATTGTATCAGTTGAAGTTAGCTAATTAAATTTAGGGGCTTGTGGAGATTTATTGATTTCAAGCTGGTATTCATCATGAACTGACACTAGTTGGAGGAACATTAGAAACCTGGAAGCACTGAACAGCTGTTGTTTCTTTTGGTATGAGATTCCTCAGCAGTGAGAACCCAGGACCTTCAGATTCCATGGCCAGTACGTTAACATTGAGCCAGTGGGTCAGAATCCAATGCTCCATATTTCCAACTTCTGTCAGTTCACGACAGCTGTCCAATGCTCCCAGGTTTCCAGTGTTCCTCCAACTGACGTCAGTCTATGATAAATACCAACCTGAAGTTAGTTTGGAGTTTTGATATCTCTGAAAACTCATATGAATGGTATCGAGTAACATAGTTGACAATCTCCATTATTGGATCCTCTCTGGAAGTCAGTATGCAAGGCACTTGCACAATGTAGTAAAAGACATATCTGAATTGCTGAATTCAATCATTAAAAGTAGTGTTTCACTTAAAACTTAGGTGACTGAGAGCCAAAATCATTGATAAATTGTTTGACACCTTATCGTCATGGATACCAAAGGCTAGATTAGGTTCGGCTAACTTACGTCACCTGTGGCACTGGCAAGATATCCAATGGCTTACTAAATATCAGTTATACTGCGCAGCATGTGCTCTGTTCCCCTACATATCTGTGAAACATGGCCATTAATGTTGGAAGACATGAAAGGCCTTAGATGTTCGACCACAGTTGTCTTTGTAGCATAAGTCTTATCCTCGTGTCACCACGCAAGTAACATAAAATTCCAGTAAAGAGTTTCAGGTGAAAGAGCAGGGTGGCTGGGACATATGTTACCTGTGTCTAGCCGTCATCTACTCTGGCAGATATTGTAAAATGAAGTAGGCTTAGGCTGAGAAAAGGTCAGAAACGGCTGGAATAAAATGTGGGATCAGTTCATGAAGGGGTGCCTATGATTGTTAGTCTCAACCGTCTTTGTAAAATCGGTGTGAGATCTAAGATCTAGGGTTTGAAAATGAAGCGATGTGACTCAGAATCAATCTCAGCATTGGAAAGACATCTTCACTAAATTAGATCGCCCCCTATTTCTCTTTCATCTTGTGTACATGTGGTGATATCAGGCTTAGCAGCTTGGATAGTTACGCAGTAATGCCAGGTTTTACGTTGATGATGGCTGACTGACTGATTAGGAATTTGGCACATACTGTCGATTGACACCTTAACCTAGGAGTTTGAAAGGTTCACAACAGCAGTCTGCATCTCAGGATGACACACACCTGGTAATCACTTGGATCTTGAATTCCCCTTCCCTGAGTGCCTGTCTACTACCTCTTTAACTAGCTTTCAAGATACTAATTTTTCCGTTGCGTTTCTGATTTTCCATTTAAACGTACTGCATCTTGAAGTGATTTCTAAAAAAAATAGATTCTTCACCGCTCAAGGCATCTTACTACGCTCAACAAAATGTTCCACGGTCATTCGCACATCTTGTTCAAAGTTAGCAGAGCATCTCTCTCGAATGAATTTAATCTTATGCAGAAAGAAATGTAGATATTTTTGTCACAAACAATTATTATGAGCAAGTTTAAAATACATAGAGCTGAAGCTAAGAACACTGAAGTCATTCAAATGGAATGAATGAATGCAAGACGTGGACAACAACAACAACAACAACAACAACAACAATACAGTGTCATTCTTAATGTGTATATATGTGCGTCAAGGATGTGATGAATGGAAAAAAACATAGAAAAAACTTTTATAGAATGCATCAAAATGCTACTCATAAGCATATGTAGTGAAAAAGGTTAAAGGAAGAGACAGAGGAAACAAAATGCCTGTACACACATTACCAGAACATTTGCAAAGTATTGTGCACAGAATGTCATACAAAAAATAAACAACATGGTGAAATGCCGTAAGAAAAATGCGAAAAACATTGAATACGATCGAAAATAAAGATGACAGAGCGTGACACACACACGCACACGCACATAAAGAAAGAATAGGCTTATTAAATAGTATACCTTTTGCTTGTGAAATCAGTTCATCGCCTGAATGAAGCAATGAGTGAATCCAGTTACAGAAACACAGAATGACGGCTTTGTAAGGAAAGAAAAGATAGGAGTTGATTTTTCAAAGAAGTAACAGTAGAATAACAATCTTAAGGATCAAGATGAGGGGCGGCTGTTAAAACAAGGAAGTCATTCGAGTGTAACCAAGGTGCATAAAAGGACATATATTCTAAGTGAATAAAAAGACATACAAGTGTTAATCATTCAGTTGATCGGTTATTATTTGGTTAAATGCAGCTAGAACTACTGTTTTCTTTATCATTCATAAATGAACGGCAGACGTAGTATTGTCAGTACCAATAGTAGTAGTAGTAGTAGTGTGAGTAGCAGTAGTAGTAGTGTCAGTAGTAGTAGTAGTGTGAGTAGCAGTAGTAGTAGTGGTAGAATTTGTAATGTGACACCAACACTGAATTTTAGGGGAAACACGCAGCTTTTCAAAGCATATACAATAGTTCTTTAATTTTAAGAATAGGCAGTGGTAACTTTCTCTGCAAATTACTAGTTATTATAGTGTTAACTAAAATCTTATCTTTGGCTATCTTCAATCACATTTCCCCTTCATAAATTTATCTCTCTCTCTCTCTCTCTCTCTCTGCCGTTAGGAGCAAAATAATAAAAAAGCATAACATTTGCAATTCATCCAGGAAAATCATGGTTAATTGAGAAATTATTATAAAATAAAAGCATTTTTAAACAAGAAAGACTGTAAGCAAAATCATATTATTTCAGTTGTTCTCACTTACAAGACAGACACCAGTGTAAGTTGTTCATATTCTATTGGGGGTTCGAGGTGGGGGAGAGAAGTAAAATGCATTCAGTGTACTTCATAAACCTGTTAGCATGTGTGTGTGTGGGGGGGGAGTAAATGAAACAATTTCATTGTTAGATAAGCAATAAAACAAATAAAGTGTGTACAAAGATTAAGACAGTAAAAATGGGTTATAATAGCTGAAAACACACGCACACAAAGATGAACACGGTTAAAATCACAAAATAAATAAGAATATTGTAATTTATGTCCAATAGTTGAGTTTTTTTTTGTTGCTTCAAATGCCTCATTCATAAATGTTTGGATAATTCTCGGTTGAGTAGACTGAGAATTTGATAAATGCGCCGACTTTTCGTCTAAAAGTAAGGGGTTTACAAAATGAGAAATTACTAGGAGATGATAACAACTAGTCAGAACTGAGTCTTCAAATTTTATTTATTTATGTCATCATTCATCGAAAAACAGTCTAGTGAATAGCCTACTTCTTCACATTCCGTTGGTTATGAGTATTTAAACACTTACCTGCATCACTACAGTATTTTTTGTGTACTATTCTCTTGGTAAGTTCTCTCCATTTCTTTAATTCTAGCTACCTGTTTGATGTTGTTTGACGAAACAATATTGGGAATTGTAACAGCAGAACGTCGGTGGCAAGTAAAATGTGTCTCCTCGTCAGATTAGAAAAATGAGAAACGCTTATCAATTGAGTTATCACATTTACTGACCAAAAGGATAGTCCTTAAGGTAGCCTTCATCACTGACTGACATCATTTGTAGAACCACTGGAAATCTGAAATCGTTGGACAGCTGTTTCATCCTAATACGGGATTCCTCATCAGTATACACCCACGACTAGGCTAGCGATCCAACTCAGGACCTTCATGTTTCAATGTGAACAAAATCGGGAACTGTTGACCTCCGACTCAGTGACTGGATGGTTAACGCATCCACCGTGAAACCTGAAGGTCGTGAGTTCAGTCCCTAACCGAACCATGCGTACTGCTGAGCAGTCCTGTACTAGAATAAGACAGCTATCCAATGATTCCAGGTTTACAATAGTTCTCAAGGTGATTTCACTCCATGATGAATACCACCCTATAAGTGAAATCCCCATTAACCTCAACATTAAAGGTTAGTTGTTTACAGTTTATGTGAATAAAAGTTACTACAGTAGCTCAATAAGAGCTCACTCAAAAAGCTACCTAACAATGATGGAAGATAAGCAAGAAATAAGTGTTTTTTAAACTAGTCCTATTCATTCAAAGATGGTGTTATCACTATGTCGTTTGGAGATTCAACGTCTAACTTCGATAAGGATTTATTTCTACATATTCCTCAATATTTTGTAATGTAAGACTATATTTAAATTAGTTAAACGTTCTTACGATGTTCTGTCACAATGTTCCTCTTCTTTTACAATCCTCACCAAGAAGATATTTGTACAGATATTTATTGATGTTTCCTTCCAGTGTCCTTCAAAGTATCCACAAGCATTTCGTCATACTCCTTTGAAAAAAGCTCCTGTGAAAGTTAGTCATTGTATGGTTCACAAATGATTAGAAATTTCTATGCATCATTTCTTTTTTATTACTCAAATGAGAACAGTTAGGCGGAGTTACAAGTCATATTCTGTAACACGGAGGCAATACTATTTCGTTCTTAATTAAAACAACAGACAAAATATTTCTCTGCTATATCAGTTTACTTATAAGTAGTATAAATTACCTAGAGAAAAACATTAGTATTCAGTTGAGGTCTAGGGATTTCAAGCGTTTCGTCTTCATCATTAGTCGATCGGACAGTTCTGTTTGAAAGTTATTCTGGTAAACACCAGGTGATAAAAGAAATCAGAATGTTCTTGGGACATTGAACAGTAACACTTATTGTCAAGGCATTCGCATAGGAGCCTATTTACCATTCGAGGTAGAACAATTCGATCCCGTAAAACACCGAAGAATTACAACCCTTTCAGTCATCGCATTAACACTAGTCAGCATAGTTTTGCTAAAAAATTTAAAATTTAGTCTAATCTAATAGTTTCAGGTGAAAGCTATCGGTCTACGTGATATTTTATGATAGTGGCTAAGAGACCCTGGCTTACTCCTGTTTCTAACTGATCATCTAAGCAATCTGGGTAGTGTTATCACAGAGACATAAATGCGTACATGATTATTAAAAGTGATGGAATAATTAATTCGGGAGTTTGTATGGATTTATTAATTGATTTCAAGTCAATTGGAGGATCATTAGAAACCTGGTAGCGCTGGACAGCTCTTTTATCCTAGAATGAGACTCCCCAACAGTGTGCACCCACAACCTCGTCAAGAATCGGATACAGGACGTTTAGGTCAGCATATAGCTATTAGGCCACTGGGTTAAGATCCAGATGCGTTCATTTTTGCACTTCTTTCACGATATAGCATGACCTTCATCCAATGACATCATTGAAGAATCGTCTTCATATCCGAATTGGTTGGCCTCACTGGCCACTACTTCTCATGAGAACTTTGGGAATCACCTCTCGAAGTGAGTTACCAGTGAGAACTAGATTACTTCAGTCTGAAGGCTTGTGGTGATTTGCCTATTGTTTTCAGGTTGGCATTCATCATAGACTGATATTACTTGGAGAAACATTCGAAGCTTGGTAGCAATGGAACTTGAAGGTCATGGTTCGATTCCTGGTGAGGTCAGGGGTGGACACTGATGAGAAGTCCCACGCTAGAACGAAACAGCAGCTGACCAGTGTTCCCAGGTTTCTAATGTTTCTTTAACTGATTTTAGTCCATGATGAACACCAACCTGATGGAATCTTGTTTAGTAGACTATTTCTTGCACAAATAGTGAAATTCAGTGCTTAATAACAACGCCAACACATTTTGTGTGTACATGTAACAAAAGAGATTCAGTTGAAAGGAAAATCCAATAGCTGTTATGCGTATAGTCATAGTTTATTCAGTATATAAAAATCCATTCTAGATATAAGCTAACAGTATGAATAAACCTATTTTATTTCATTCACATCATGAAAGGAAATTAGATAAGTTTGAAGCGTTTAAAACGTGATATAGCCTACAATGATTTGGGCTGAAAATACCCCTCTAAAATGAGTTTATCCTAATTGGTTTGTACTCAAACAAAATATCTGATTGTGTTATGTAAAAATTTAAGATAGACTAATGGATTATATATATATATATATATATATATATATATATATATATATATATATATATATATATAATACCTTACCTTTATTACATATTCTTCTTCTTCATGTGATTCATTATTGATTTCTAAAGCAATAATCAATAATTCAAATTAATCACAATATAAAATGAACAGTAGACTTTGTAGAACTAATTCAGTATATTGAGGCATTTTATATTTATTTTGATTCATCATAATTATGAAGAATGTCACTCGATGAAACTTTAAGGCGTCGATTATTTAAGGTGAAGTCACTGAGCTCTGAGTGTCTGAGTTTGAACTCAGAAAATCATTCGATGGAGGTACTCAGCTATGATGTGATACCAGATAACGAATGTTAAGTGTATTCTGAGTTTTTTTTCCATTTGTCATTTAGTACTATAATCTTACAATAAAACGCTTTTCAAAAGTATCCGTTCAACCAGCCTGAAGAAAGTTAAATGAAGTTAAGTCAAGTCTGCTATAATATTTCATGCATTGTGTGTGATGAAATCATCTGTTTGGATGAACATTTCGGGATCTGATCGACTTTCTCGAGGTAGAAAAGTTTCGAAAACAAGACAATACTGGAAAACTGTTTTGTTCTTTTTCTCAGTCACTTGACATACTGCATACACAGGGACGACCTCTGAACATTTAGCAACTTCAATATCACTTATATATCCAGCCAACGAGGTGATATTCTATAACTTGGAGGTGTTCCAGGTGTCACAGTTGCTATGCGTGACTGCACATTAGTTATCTGTCTAAAGTTATTGCTAATAAAGTTCTATGAGGGCAGGCAACCCAAGGGTAATGAAGATGCCTATTCTTCTTCTTCTTCTCATTATTATTATTATTATTATTATTATTACTATTATTATTATTATTATTATTATTATTATTATTATTATTATTATTATTATTATTATTATTATTATTATTATTAGTCCCTTGAGTTCCTAGTGGAACAAAGGGTTTCACTAACACTCCACCATTTCACTCTCTTCTCTGCACTCTTTACAACCTGACTCCAACACTCCCCACAACCTCTCATTTCTTCTTCACACCGTCTCCTCCATGTCACCACCCTCGAATGCCCAACTCATTGTTTCTCATTTGGCTTCCACTTGACGGCCTGGCCTGGCCTGGCCTTGTCTGGTCTGGTCTGGCCTGGCCTGGAGCGTCATCTCTCCAATCGATCTTCTCAGTCTATGCCAATTCAATTCAATCCAATCCAATCCATCTACACCTTCTTCTTCTGCACACACGTTGGACGATGGATTCTTCGTTGGTTGGTTGGTTGGTTGGTTCATTGGTTCATTGCCAGTCATACTGACTTCCTTGTCACTTATTCTTATCATTCTGGCCATCTCATCCCATCTCATCTCACCTCATCTCATCTGATCTCCATCTTCACTGCCAGTATCCAGTGAGTGTAGGTGGCAGCTGTTGATGACATATGTCTGTAGTTCGTTGGAAGGAAATGCTCTTCGTAAGACGCCAACTCTCTCAACCATCACATAGAAGCATTGACTTGACTGGGTTAGTGTTGAGAATTTGGATGTTGTTCACGCTTCATGCTTTATGGTGAGTGTAGTGCACTGCACTGCAGTGGAGTGGAGTGGAGTGCAGTAGATCACCACACTGATTATTTCAGATTGATGAAGGTGTGTGTGTTTAACTGTCTTTTGGATGCTGCCTGGCTTTGATATCTTCATGTTTGCCTGTACCGCCTGTAGTTGAGAGGATGCTGCCTAGGTAGGTAGGTAGGTAGGTAGGTAGGTAGGTAGGTAGGTAGGTAGGTAGGTAGGTAGGTAGGTAGGTAGGTAGGTAGGTAGGTAGGTAGGTAGGTAGGTAGGTAGGTAGGTAGGTAGGTAGGTGTGGAGTGGTAGGTAGGTAGGTAGATGATGGCGACAACTTGCCTCAGATTTCTCCCGTTGATGATAATTGCTGACTAGTGCTTATTGTTGCTGTTGCTGCTGTTGTTGTTGGTTGGGTATCTTCATCAACTACCTCTATCTTCTCTACATTCACCTGAAGTCCAGTCTTCGCTGCCCTGCCTCTTCTGTCAACTTGTTGATTTTCGCCTGTGGATCTTCGAGTTTGTGCGACAAGGCATTAGACATGAATCATCATTGTTGGTGAAATCCAAATCTTCTTTTGGGGTCTTTTCATCGATCCAGCCAGCGTATGCACATATTGTCTCTCCTCACAGTTTGTAGCATGATCTTGTCAGTCGACAACAATCAGGAAGATGATCGGTGATAGCAGGCGCAATCTTGTCTTGACTTCTAAGCTACATAATGAAGGTTTTGTAATACGACAAACCAACAAAAGTTGAATAAGATGACGTTGGAATTCAATGCAGCGACTGAATAGGGAGATGTACTCCATGAAAGTTGGTGGTATTTTCTCATGGTGGACAACTACTACTACTCACATACCATCAGTTCATGATGAAATTCCGTTTGATTCAGCAGTTATTTTGCTATTAAAGTGAAATATCTCTATATTCGCTTACAACATCCTAAGTTAACGTGCATGACAACAAAGGTTGATCATTTCAATCCAGTATAACAACGGAAAATTACAAGTACATCAACAAATGATAATCATATAGATAGTATTCAGCTTCCATGCACTGAGTGAGGTGTCCAACATAAGGAAAAAGAATTTAAAGTGTTTGTCTGATATCAACCATCTATCATGAACTTTGAAGAACCCTGAAGGCAAAGATTGGCAGCTAGCTACCACTTGTCATCTGTGAATATGTGAAACTTCAAAGAAGTACATTTGCTGTCAACAAATTCACCTTTCAACGTCTAGTTTTACCGATTGATACCAACCAATTCGTACATGAGAACAGTTACTCAATGACGACAATGGATGTAGGTCGTGCCATATCGTGAACTGAAAGAAGCAGGAAAAATGGACCACTGTGTTCAGGTTTTCAGTGTTCCTCTATGATAACTTCCAGTCTAAAATAAGGAGGATGTGAGATCTGGAATATCAGTCTACAAAAACAAGTAACTGGCACAAAGTGATCAGGAGAGGTATGAGTTGTGCCAAGTCTCTGATACATCATTCCGTTCATTGTCAGCTTGAAAGACATTTATCAAGATATTGGACTTTCAAAGAGTGCCAATACTGGCATGGAATAGGAGCTGATTGCAAATTTACCAACCACTATGTATGGTGACCACTCTTTGCTAAGATATAATGGTGTCAGAAATGGTAACACATTAATTCATCGATCTTAGAAAGATGGATGTTCATTGTTTTATCTGTAAAATAAATTTTCCCTTATCTTACCTTTTGTTGACCGTTTTACTGAACGTGTGAGTGTTGATGTTTTCAAATTCATCTTGCCATTTAAACCATCATTTGTTTGTTTCAGCAAACTTCCTTGATGATGTGAATTGAAAAAATGACCAATATGATGTTTATCTTTTAGTGATTCCATTCGATTTACACCAGGTGAGTCAATAACTTCACTTGATGTTGTTGGAGAGAGAACAAATGCCCATTTATCATCATCAGCATCACCACCATCGCCACCACTACTACTATTATCATTGTTATTAGTAGTATCAGCATTTACATCAGGAAAATATGTGATGGTGTAGATGTATCAGGTCGAGATAGATAAATCTGAAGCTCATTCACACGATCCTCTTCAGATGTCATAGAAGGTGGTAAAGGTGAATAAAGACTTCCAAATCCAGAAGAATTAGGACTAATATCAGATATACTGATTTTTGTTGAAGACTTTGAAGTTTGTTGACCACTTTGATCCCAATCTGAAGGTAGATCACAACAAACAGTTCTTTCCAAACGTTTTTCTGCATATTCTAGTTCAGCTATATGCTGACGTTGTTGATAACGACGTGCATCACGTATAGGACTAGCACAACTGACAACTTCAAATTCAGCACTAGCGAACTCCGTACTAAAGTAAACAATCGAACAAATTACAGAAAAATTCAATTTTTGGTTGTATAATTTGGGTAAAGAGAGCATAATTTTGCCTGATTCGTTTAATCAGTTGATTCACTCAAAATCAGGTGATCTAGTTGAATGAATGTAAAGCATTGATTAGGGTGGTCAAATGCAGCAAACAAGGCGAGGAACTATATAAGCCAATAGAATGTTTGTTTCAGCCATTTGTGGCAAAAGGTAGATTTTCCAGTTGAGATCAGTAAAACAGAAGGCACTGATCACTAGAAACCTAAGAGACATCGCCGAAGACCACTGACTGTTTGGGTCCTTCAACTAGAACTTTTTTGATGAACCACCTAACTTAGAAATCATTTTCAACAATGAATACCAGTTTGATGACTCTCTCTCTCTCTCTCTTGTTCTTCGGATATACGAAAAGAGTTGTCAGTTAATATCATCGCAGCTAAGTGGGTGACTCTGACTCAGGTTGCAACCTGCCTTCTAGGTTACGTTATTCAACGCCAGTGATGCTGGGTAGTGATAAACAGCTGACGGCAAGATACAGTCACTTGGTTACCATTCAGCGGCAGACTAACGCGGTTAACTGAGTCATTCATAGTTGTTTATGTAAGGCCTAGTGGTAAGTTTTCGGACTGGGAAGCTGAATGATGCTGCTTAAAGTGTTTGAAATAGACAGACAGACAGACAGACAGACAGACAGACAGACAGACAGACAGACAGACAGACAGACAGACAGACAGAGAGTAACATATTTAAATATTTTTAACCAGCAGGAACAAGTAAACGGTAGGTGGCGGTCAAATGTAACTTGACATACCTATCAAATTTCAAGTACATCGGTAATCTGATGAATATTCCACCCATCTTCCAGTGTGTAGCTGGTGAATAGCATCCACTTTAAGAGGTTGTTTATACCGCTTACTTGACTTACGTCCATATTCGGCTAGCAACTACCAAAAAGGCATACCTCTGAAAGCAAAGAAAAATGACTCCCCTTCAAGTGCACAGGCACAGACGAGGATGTCAAAGCCATTCAGGATCGGAAAAGCAAGACAGGCTTTCATCAATCTGAAATAATCAGTGTGGAGATCTACTGCACTCCACTCAGTACAAAGCATGAACATCATCCGGATTCTCAACTCCAATTCCCTCAAGTCAGTGCTTCTGTGCGATGGTTGAGAGAGTTGGCGTCTTACGAAGAGCATTTCCTTCCAACAAACTACAGACATATGTCATCAACAGCTGCCGCTTACACTCACTCGATACTGGCAGTGAAGATGGAGATGAGATGAGATGAGATGGCCAGAATAGTTAGAATAAGCAACAAGGAAGTGTGCAAGTGAACCAACCAAGAACCTATTACCGAGGAAATGTGCAAAAGAAGAAGAAGGTGGAGATGAATTGTATTGAATTGGCATACACTGAGAAGACGGATCGGGGACATCACGCTGCAGGTCAGGCACTCGAGTGAAATGCGAAGGGGAAATGACGGGTTGTGCATCCCAGATGAGGGTGACATGGAGGAGATCATGTGAGGAAGAAATGAAAGTTTGTGGGCAGTCGTGATGCCAGGTTGAAAAGATTGCAGAGAACAGAATGAAATGATGATGTGCTACTGAAGCCCTATGTTCTACTAGGAACCCAAGGGACAAATAATAATGTGACGATAATAAGCGGTATGCTGTGGAAAGCAGTGCATAATCAAACCGAATCAATAAAGACATTGTAAAACTGTAAATACTATTCATTTTAAAAGTTGACATAGCTGCATTACTTACTCATTCTCATCAATCAATGTGACTGTGATATGAACATCTTTTTTCCAAGTGCTAGGACATTTAGAATTCAGAAATGGAAAGACTAAGTGGAAGATATTACAAAAGCTATGCAGATCAATCTCCATAACAAGATAGCCATCATCTAATTTCTTGTAGGTCACATTGTTCTCCTGTTGAACTGCTTGTATAAAACAAAGTTGTTCTTGTCTTAATAGTATATTTGGTATCTGCATGGGATCATTGTATCTGGAAAAAGAAGATATGAAAACCCTAAAATGTAGAAAAGTCTTTCTATTATTACTGGCGCATGGTAAATGACCTGTACAAAGATGATTGTATTGTCTAACTATTCGCTTCAACTATGAAATGTGTTTACCATTGAAATTGCCAGAAATTTAGGTATCAGCAAACCTTCCCTTTGGACATATGTTTTTATAGTCCCCTCATCTCAGATTCCTTGTTTCTATTGATATCAAAATTTTCCAGATGTTGCATCATCTCTTTTACATGTGTTTCGTGTTGATTCGATGAACGAAGATTCAGTAATCTCCCTCCCCTCCCTCTCTCTCTTTCTCTCTCCACCTAATTATATTGGACTTATATAAGTACAGTGGCTTTATCCCACGCACACGCACCATCGTGTGCTTGTGTGTTTATGTATCCACTGTAATAGACAAGTCTTCTTCTAGACTATTCATCTTATTCAGCTCTGTCATTCTATATTTAGATAAATTCCCATCTTCCACCACTCTAACTGACACCGACCGACCAGTTTGACTTATGTACTTGATCTCACAGTCATTACATGGAATTCGATAGATTAGATTATTTTGCTGGATTGGTTCTATGGGATCGTTAAGCCATCCGACAAAGCTTATCTCGGAGTGACTTTGTATGTTTAAATGTCACCCTATTACCAGACTTTCTGATGTTCCTTCCTTAGTCAAATGTCTGAATGACACAGATAAAAAACTCAATAGTCACTCTAAGGACCTAAACAAGGAATTGAGAAACATAAAAGAAATGTCAATAATTAATAATTAACCTCTGTTATTTATAAGAAATTCTTACGAACATGAGAGAAACAAAATGGCAACAGTAATACGAATAGGAGTAATAGAGACAACACGAGTAGAAAGGAGTTCACAGCCTCCATTGTGTTACACTATGAGGAAGGAACATCAGAAAGTTTACATAGGATTCTCAACAAGTATGGTATTAGAGTGATATTTAAACATACAAAGTCACTCCGAGATAAGCTTTGTCGGATGGCTTAACGATCCCATAGAACCAATCCAGCAAAATAATCTAATCTACCGAATTCCATGTAATGACTGTGAGATCAAGTACATAAGTCAAACTGGTCGGTCGGTGTCAGTTAGAGTGGTGGAAGATGGGAATTTATCTAAATATAGAATGACAGAGCTGAATAAGATGAATAGTCTAGAAGAAGACTTGTCTATTACAGTGGATGCATAAACACACAAGCACACGATGGTGCGTGTGTGTGGGACAAAGCTACTGTGCTCAAATCCAATGCAAATAAATGATATGAGGTGATAAGACTATGGAAGTCGATTGTTGAGAGTGGAGTTATTATGTTGATATGATTCTGAGGAATGATAATTTATGCTCGAGACGTCATCCAGTAAATAATACTATATCACTGTGCTCCCGCCATATATCAAATCAATAAATCTAATACGGAATTACATCTGCCACAGTGGTCATGTTTGACACCTATATTAATGGAGAGAACTGTAGTTTGGTAGACTAGTATTTTATACTGGGTGATGATTGAAGGCTAGATGAAAATCCCGGCGTAGTCCAGATTTTCATCTCGTCTTTAATCACCACCCAGTATAGCATATCACATTGACGTTGTTTAAATGTCATATTATATATCTTGGTGTTTTTATCACTTCTAACAGACTCAGCTGATTAATTACAGTGAATTCCAGCCACCTATGTCTACAAGTAGTGTATATTAATGTAAGATAATAAGGTTGAAAATTTCATAGGTAATCTAATACACCGAATAAAGCCATTTTTGAGTAAGTCTCAGTGGTCTAATTTAATTCCTAAAACTAACAATTCTAGTAGAATTTATGGTTCCATTTAAGGTTCATAAAACAGGTTACCCTATTAGTCCAATAGTTGACTTCAGAAGCACACCAAGTTATAATCTGAGTAATTGGTCACAATGTTTTGTCTCATTAGAAATCATTCAACGTTTAGGCTAACCAACTGCTTTGATTCGAAATGGAAACTAGGTAATATACAATTAGAGGGGGTGGAGTAGAGGAAAAATGGTCAGTCTTGATGCGACAAGCATCTCTACAGATATACTAATTAATGCGGCACCTGAGGTAGTCAGGTCAGTCATTCAGTCGTCAGTAAGACAACTAAAGTTTCTATTGAAGAAATCATGCTACAGATAAGATTATCTTAAACTTTCACCTTTTTTCCAATTTCAGCACAAGATATATCAACGAACAGAAGGAGTAGCGATAAGATCTCCGATATCCTTAATTTTAGTACACATATTTATGGGCAGTTGGGGGGAACAGATAGAGCATAAGGAACATTCCAATACCATCACAAAAGTATGGTGGCGATATGTTGAAATCGGGACACGTTCAGATTTTTCCGCACACATTAACCAGACAGCAGATCCAATCCAATTCACTTATGAATTAGAGAATGTTGGATTGCAAAATGAAGAAGAGAGAAGATGGGAGCTTGGATACCAGTGTTTATAGGATACTGGTACATTCGAATAGAAACCTGGATTCCACACTATTTCACCCTATGTGTCTATCAAGGTGGGCTTGATTAAATGTCTCAGTAATTGGGTTAGGAGCTTTACTAGTAAGTCAGAAAACCTAAATAAGGAAGTAAAACACACATCGAAGAGACACTACTTCTTAATAATTACCTTCCGAAATTTATTAAAAGGTTTATAATGACTGATAAGAGGAGGCATGGTAATGTTAGTGGTGATTGTGTAGTGGGATCTGCTGATCAAAATGGATATATATTGAGAAGGCGGCAGAAATCATAAACATTTGTCAGCAGTCAGTAAATATTTTACCCAGAGAAACGCAAGAGACAATGTGGGCCTATTAAGAGCAAATTGAGGTAGAGACAGTAGAAGAAATGAAGCACATTGTGCAAATAATTGTCTTACTGGGAGGTGTACAATATTTCACCAGTATTCTTCGAGATGCGTCTCAATCTTGTCGTTTCCTACAATTTCAGTATCCCTAAGAGGAAATTTATATCTTCTTTAGTGTTGTCGTATAAAGAAGGTATATCGAAAACTATATGCAGAATTCTGAACATTGCTTGGATTAGGGTGGCATTTAAACCTATTAAGTCACTCAGAGAGAAGGTTTGTCGGTTAAAAGATACAGTAGAGCAAAAAAACCAACAAAAATAACCAACCACGTAATGATTGTGAGGTTAAGTATGTAGGTCGAAGCAACTTATCTGGGTCACTAGAACATAAAAATTTAGTGAAACATAGACTGGTACGGTGTTCGACCACTGTTGCCTTCGCAGTATAGGACATATTCCGTGGTGTCACCATGCGAGTGAGTAATACAGAAGTCAGGTGTAGAGTTTTAGGGAGGAGAGGTAAATCAGTTGACGAGGTTGTGAACCTTCATCGACTGAGATGGTTGGGACATGTACTACGTATGCCTTGTCACCGATTGCCTCGTCACACAATGTTGGCTGAAGTAGGTCCAGGCTGGAGAAAGGCCCGAGGTGGCCAGACTAAAACTTGACATCAATGTATGAAGTCTCTGACTGTTGGTTTGAGTCATGTGGGGCGATGCAGACTACTGGGTCGTTGGGGTCCAGGGGACAAGAAGGACCAGTGGCTGGAGACTCTAAGGGATATGGCTGATAAGGGATATGAGTGGCGCAGATGTATACACACACATATTATCCTCATCTTAACGATGCTATACCGAATCTCACCATTTTCTCATTCTTCGTTTCTCTCTTCTGGTACTTTATATTTCTTTTGACTGCATTCTGTTATCTTGATCTTGCGCCTCACTGCCTTTTTTACTTCATGTACTGATTGATATGAGGTGTGGCAACTCGGACCGTTATGCAGTAATGCCTGATCCTAGGTTGATCTGGATGGATGGTACAACTTACTAAGATAGGTAGTGTACAGGAGAACTCGGCTATCGCTCTACCTGCACTGATACATAATTACACTATAGGGTGGGACAGCGTGACAATTCTAAACTCCAATATAGCTAAATGGAGGAAGAGATTAATCACAAAGTCTTTGCTCATGAAATCCACACCTAACATATGTAACAGGAATGATTCATCACATGTTGCAGATATTCAATCTAGAGGTTTGTCGAGATTTATTAATTAATTTCAGGTTGGTATTCATCATGCACTGACATCAGTTGGAAGAACATTGGAAACTTAGGAGCATTGCACAGCCTATCTTTCGTCCTACTGTGGCACTCTTCAACAGTGCTCACCCATGACCCCGACAGGGATCGAACCCAGGAGGTCACGTTATATCGTTAACTGACAGAAGTTTGAAATATGGAGCATTAGATTCCGATCCAGTGGTCCAACGCTACCGTGCTGGCCGCGGAACCTACAGGTTGCAGGTCATGGGTGCTCACCGCTGAGGAGTTATATTCCAGGATGAGACAGGCATCCAGTGTATTTAGATTTCCAATGTTCCCCCAACCAGTGTTAGTCCATGACGAATCCCAACTTGAGGTATTACAGATATCTGGAAAATTTTACCTCCATTAAGATAAAAGAATGAAGAAGTGTTAGACTATGTAAAGGAAGTTTGGAAGTGGTATGATTACTTTGATATGTGAATATGAGCAATAGATTCTGTTTGAAACGTTATCCAGTAAATTACACCATTTCACTGTGTGCTATATTAATCAAATCAATAATCTAAAATGGAAGTAGTGCATATCCCGCAAAATAAGCTGACTTACCGATTGTCTTATGATTCTGACTTTTTCACCTCATTATATATGGTCTGTTTCTGCCCAATAAGAATATAAGTAGTAGGCAAATACATCTGAAAGATATGGCCTGGTTTCTCCACAGCATCCTAAACAAACATCCCACTATCACAGTACTTATTCTTTCTTAACTGATGGGGAAATCGATAAACTTGTCAATTTCACTTTTTAATCATTTGTGCTGTCAGATATGTTGGTGGCTAGAGTTGTTATGACTTCATTAGGAATGTCTAAGTCTAGAGGATACAGCCAATCCAGCCGTCTGATCCTACCTAATCCTTAAAAGCTAGTAGAATAGAGTTTTTTTCCATCTCACACTCCCAGTCAGCTGATGAGTCATCCTCCAAACATACCAAACCGTAGATACAGTATTCAAATCAGCTTGGTTTGATTACTGTGTCAAACTGATTGACACAAATAACCTTGAGCTATTTACGTACATTGTTAAAGCTTTTCACTTCTAAGTACAGCTTTAGAATATAAAATGCTCTGAAATATTGAAAATTTTGGAAAATACTGATTGGAATCATTCAATAATGAACAAACAAACTTACCCAATGGCAGGTGTACAGATACCACCGAAAGATGTAAATGGTTTAAATCGTAATCTGAACTTTTTATTCTTTAATAAATTCAAATCATTGATTGTTGTTGAAGTTGTCGTCACATTTTCAGATTTAAAATACTGACAAAACTGTATTCGTGTATCAATCACTCTTCCACGAATTACAAATAATTTCGGTATACCACCTTTCGTTATAATTGTCTAGATGAAAAGGATTATATATATATATATATATATATATATATATATATATATATATATATATATATATATATAAAATACGTTATTTAGTCACTGATATTTGCAATCGATAACATTTCAAATAAATACCGTGGATATCAATTGATTAAATTTAAATTGGTTATTCATTGATCTTGTAATAAAATTGTTCGATTAAGAGAGTTTATGCATAATTCATCCGAGACAGTGTTATATTTTATCATGAAATGAATATCAGATCATTATTTCTTTCATCCTACGTTGAAGTGTTTTCCATCCGGAATTATCTGTCTTCTAGTGGGTTTCTAACCTCACCTGGTTTACTGGTTTCCTAGTTACTAGCCGGTCCTAAACCACGATAAAGAGGGAAGGTTGGGAATAGGACTAGCAACCCTACCCCGGAAAATCAATATAACCGCTAAACAAACTTCAAAGCACAGACCAAATATAAAGAATAACAACAAACTTATTCCTCTCTGGAATCGGATAGACGAAATGACACCGGTTGGTGAAAGCCTTCAGGAAGCCAGTTGGTCGATGTGTCTTCTCTCGATGAAAGTGAAAGTAAACGTGGGGACATGGATTGTCCGTACTATGTTTCAGGCTGGCTGGCTGGCTGGTAAAGCTGTCCCGATTGCAAAAGAGATGAGAAGATATAACATAGAATTGCTAGGAATCTGTGAAAGCAGATGGGATGGATGTGGACTCTCCAGACTGTCAACTGGAGAGTCAATAATCTACTCCGATGCTGTCACCGAGAAGAGAACCACAAGCACACTGAGTTATGGAGTGACTATCATGATGTCCCCAAGAGCACCAAAGGCTCTCTCTCATACCGTGGGAACCAGTCTCCTCCATGATCAGGATCACGACAGCAATGCTCAACTCAAAAGGAAGGAAATTCACAAGCGTACAATGCTACACTGCGAACCTACAAATAATGCAGAGCAGGAGAGAAAGGAGGAATTCTACAGACAACTGCAATCAACACTGCATAAGATCTCAGTTGGTGATATCAAAACTCTAATGGGCGACATGAATGCCAAACTGGGAGCGGACAACACAGGAGAGAACTAACCGTCGGTCGAGAAGCGCTAGGTGAAATGAACGAGAATGGAGAATTGTTTGCAGAATTCTGCGCATTCAACGATTTGGTGGTTGGAGGTACTGTTTTCAAGCACAGGGATATCCATAAAGCGACATGGATTTCATCAGACACACTAAAAATCAGACTGACTTCATCTCAATCTCAAGAAAGTGGGGACGTAGCCTACTTGACACAAGTTCAAAAAGGGGAGCAGATGTTGGTTCAGACCACTCATTATCTAGTGCCAGGAACCTTCCAAATCAAGTTGAAAACCTTCAAGGAAGTTGGTGATAGACTACAGTTCAAGTTCAACACTCGGAAACCGAAGGACTCAACTACAAAGGAAATCTTCAAGGCAGCCATCAAGACAAAATGGGAGAAATCGAGGAACATCCGTGAAGGGACCCGTATGAAAGAACACTGGAAGTCTTTGAAAGAGATGTGGAAAGAAACCTGCATAACCTTATTAGAAAGGAAGAAGAAAGAAGATAAGGAATGGATCTCGACGGATACAAGAAGCTGATAGAGCGTGGATAGGAAGATGGTGAAGCAGAAGATAAACCAGAGCAAGGATGCATACCGAGAAGAGGAACTGAGTACAGTGTGCAAAACACTGGATAAAGAAGTGAAGAAGAGTGAGTGCAAAGACAAAAGACACTTCTACGACACACTGGTAAGTGAAGCAGAACAGGCTGCGGGTAGAAGAGACCTGATAACATTGTATCAAATAACCCGGTTACTATCAGGGAAGAGGTCAACACAGATAAAACCAATAAAAGATGATGAAGGAAATCTAATTACCAAAGATGAGAAAGAAAGGAAACGATGAGCTGACCACTTCGAAAAGCTCTTGAATCGACCACCACCCGCACTTCGATCAAAAATACCACCAGCAGTTCATTCGCAGAACGGCCAATGAACACAAGCCCTCCAACAAAAGCAGGGGTGAAGTCCTGAACGCCATAAAGCTACTGAAATGTGGGGAAGCAGCAGGACCAGATGGAATCCCGCCAGAAGCACTGAAAACAGACGCGGGGACAACATCAGCGGACATGATCATATCACTATTGCAGAAGGTCTGAAAGGAATGAAAGGTACCTGCCCACTGACTGGAAGAAGGGCTACCTTCTCAAACACCCAAAGAAGGGAGACCTAAGTCTTTACAACAACTGGTGAGGAATCATGCTTCTGTCCACACAAAACCAGCAAAATATTATGCCACATCATCCTGGAGAGACTAAACCATATGCTGGATTCAGGAAGAACAAATCATGTGTGCATCAAATTGCAACGCTACGCTACTCTACGCATCATCATAGAACACAGTGTAGAATGGCAGTCAACTCAACTCAACTCAACTCAACCTCAAATTCATCGACTTTGAAAAGGTCTTCGACAGCGTCAACCAACAAGTAATTTGTCAGGCAGTTGCTTAAACACTACGGAATACCACCAGTCTTGATCAACCTGATTCAACAACTATATGAAGACGCCACATGCCAAGTAATTGACAATGAGAAGCTCAGTGGTGTCGTTGAAGTGAAGACAGGAGTGGAGTAAGACAAGGCTGTCTACTATCACCGATCATCTTCGTGATTGTGGTGGACTGAACTCGACTGGACTCGACTGGACTCGACTCGACTCGACTGGACGGGATCATGCAACAACCAGTGAGGAGGGAGAAGAGGGGGATATGCTGGCTAGACTGGGGAAAATATCCTAGAAGATTTGGATTTCGCCGATGACTTGTGTCTAATGTCACACAAACTTGAAGATCTACAGGCGAAAACTAGCAAGTTGATACAAGAGGTGAGGTGAGGTGAGGTGAGGCGAGGCAGGGCAGCGAAGACGGGACTTCAAGTGAATGCAGGGAAGATAGAGATAGGTGCTGAAGATACCCAACCAACAACACCATCAACAACAAGCATCAACTAATATTAATGCGAGAAACTTAAAGGAAGTAGTCTGTTTCACCTACCTGTCCAGACAGCATCGTTTCAGCTACAGGCGGTGATGGCACAGACGAGGATGTCAAAGCCAGTCAGGATAAGAAAAACAAGACAGGCTTTCATCAATCTGAAATAATCAGTGTGGAGATCTACTGCACTCCACTCAGTACAAAGCGTGAACATCATCCGGATTGTCAACACCAATTCCCTCAAGTCAGTGCTTCTGTGCGATGGTTGAGAGAGTTGGCGTGTCACGAAGAGCATTTCCTTCCAACAAACTACAGACATATGTCATCAACAGCTGCCGCTTACACTCACTCGATACTGGCACTGAAGATGGAGATCAGATCAGATCAGATCAGATGGCCAGAATGGTAAGAATAGGCAACAAGGAACTCACTCAGGCAACGAATCAATCAACCAAGAACCCTTCACCCAACAAATGTGGAGAAGAAGGTGGAGATGAATTGGATTGAATTGGCATACACTGAGAAGACCGGTTGGGGATATCACGCTGCAGGTCAGGCACTCGAGTGAAATGCGAAGGGGAAATGACGGGTTGTGCATCCCAGATGAGGGTGACATGGAGGAGATCATGTGAGGAAGAAATGAAAGTTTGTGGGCAGTCGTGGTGCCAGGTTGAAAAGATTGCAGAGAACAGAATGAAATGGTGATGTGCTACTGAAGCCCTATGTTCTACTAGGAACCCAAGCGACAAATAATAATATAATAATAAGATTCGTGGGTTTCTGGTTGTTTGGTCGACTAGTTCAAACATTAATGTGGAAAGTCAAGTCAATTATGATTTTATAAAGGACAATGTATATATGCATACGAATGTTATGTCTGCAAGGTTATTACAATACCACAACACATGGTTACTTCAGATAAGTTTTGGCTGATATCCAATGAAGAGGGGTAGACTCAAATATTGCACCAGTCTACGAAGCCGCTGATTGTTCGTCTAAGTAGTGAATGAAAATCTCGACTTGAAGATTGCGTTTTCCGTGATGACTGATAGTGCGGGTCAGAATTAGTCCCACTGAGACAGAAGTATTCATACATTATCGTCAACTCAATCTTTACCTCGTTTCCTTATCGGTTATATGCAGTTTTCCTCAGTTCACATGACTTCCTGTGGAATTCAATAACCTTCCATTACCCTTCTTTTTCCTCTATAGTTTAACCCCCACCTTGTATGTTGGCAGTAATGCCATTACAGCTTCAATAATAACAGATTTCTATGATGCATAAACAAAATTGGTAATGATGACAATTAAAGTCGTTCGTATCTACCCGTTGTGTATTAGTAGCCGCAATCACTCCATTAAAATACCTCTATTCAACATACCGTTGACTGATAGCTGATTCAACAAACCCAACATCATTGGCTTCTAACTTACACAATCCAAATATATGAATGCTAACTCACATGAGAAATGACTGACAATGGCAATCGCACAACCAACCACCTTCTCAGATCTAAACCAATTTCCAGTCAACTGAGTTAGTACACTGGATGGATGAGCAGGTGCAATGTAGGATGAATACTCATATTCCTCTCATTCAAATAACAGTGAAATCCAGTAGCTCAGTCAACAGACCATAGTGTTACTAATTCATAGCCTACATGCAACTGTCATCATTGAGGAAATCGCTTCAACAAACAAGGCACTTCTCTCACTGTCTTCTCAATTAAATAAACACTCTCATCGATTTACAAAGCTTGCGCGGCATAAATATCACCTCGTGAACGGCACAACTCAGTCATCTGTAGGCCAATTAACCAAAACAATTTACAAATATGAGCTCTGTCGACTCATCATCTGTATGTGTATGCTACCAGAAATCGATATTGTCGGTGTAACAACTAGTATTTTCGATTATCAGATAAACAATCAATAATAAGAATAACAATAGTGATCGGGAGAGCTCGAGTTTCGTCAATTGAATATTCCAGTGTCAGTACAGGTAATGGGAATAGGACTGATTATCGAGTCAATGTTCATCTTGGTTCAGTTTCATGACTGGCAGTACATGAGGCTAGTCACCATCGGAGTGTCTAACTCCCCCTACTGCACATTTATTTGTTTCATTCACCATTCAGTGAGTGGTTGACTGGCAGCATGTGTTTCTAGGACTAGCATACAGCTTATTTTCACTCGATTGTTAGGAATCTCATGTTTATAGGAGTAGAACGTGGGCGCTTTTCTAGATTGCAATTCCATTTTAGTCTGCTTATCAAGAGTACCACACAGTGAAGGAGTATCATTTACTCGATAACACTTCGGACACAATTTATTCTCCATATTCATATCAGGTAACTCCACAACCTTGAAACACAGTTTATATAGTCCTAATTTTCTCTCCTTCTTTGTAGTGACAAGGGTAGTTGAGTTTGGCATGTTTTCCATGTCGGAGTTAGGTGTAGAATCATTTCTATCACAAGTACTCCGTGTTGATTCCATCTCTTATTTTTTAATATTGTCACTGTATCCCACCCTGTTGTGTGATTGTGTGTAATCGCGTCGATTCCGCAGCCATAACCGAGCTTTCCTCTAAATTATCTCATTGTGCTCTGTTATTCTAATTGACCCTAGTCGACTACTACTTGTCCTATGCATTTAATCTCGTAATCATTCGAAGGGATTTGGTTAACCAAATTATTTCACCAAATAGGATCTATAGGATGTTTCAACTTATACAGCTTGCTTCTAAGCCAGTTTCTTGGTTAAAATTCCACTTTAATCTCAGCCTTATCAAGAATTCTTCATAATGCTTCTGAGGTCCCCTCTCTCTACAATAACACAGTAGAGGCTTTGAATTCTCTCTCTCAATCCTATCACCATGATTATTAATAATTACACCTGTGTTACTACGACTGTTGCTGTTGCTGCTGCTGCTACTGCTACTGTTGTTGCTAATATTTATCTTTCGATTTCTTATGGATTTATTTATCAATTTAGGTGGGTTATTATTGAGATGCAAGTTATTCTTGATGTGTCTACTCACTTGTCATAGATTTTCTGGTCTACTGGTAAGCCTTTTTCACCCTATCACATAGGCATTCAACTAAACCTACTTTAACTGAGACGGGTTGGGTGAGGGGATTCGAAGTCTAAGTACCGATTCCTATAGACAGTGAATAATACTGTTTTCTATGTGACATTTCTATCTAATAAACAGACTGAAATGGAACCTGGTGTTTAGATATACTGATGTATCATGGTTGAATGAAGAATAACATTGTCTCCACATGAATATTGATGTTCACATTGGTGTTGAACTATCTACAGAATGAAACTCCATGTCACTGGAAAATTTTCTTTCGCTTAAACATTTTTTCGGTGTAGAGTATGTTCATATGATTTGGTAAAGTATTAAGCCTACGATATTCATGGTTGTTATGCGTGGATCCACAGCTTCATACATCTGTCAACAACTGAATACTATTTGAATTGGTGACGCGTTGCTACCACTTGATCCTTGTCACACTGGCCGCCTAGTCAGAATTTCTCATCCTAACCCAAATCTAAGTGAATTAGAATGGGGAAGCATCATGATGATTGTCATTTTGACTATTTGAGATAATTGTAGTTTGTCAGACTAGTACTGATACTGAGTGATGATTGAAGGTGAAATGAAACTTTGAACCACAGTGAAATTCGAACCAGCAACCTCCGGATTACCTGTGCGATGTTCTACCAATTGAGCTACAATACCTGACTGATGACTAAATTTCTATTTTCTTTCAAGTAGATTTGGATTGTGATTAGAATTCATGACTGGGCAGTCAGTGTGATAAGGATCAAGTGGTAGTAACGCGTCACGAATTCATATGGTAGTCGGATAAAATCCTTGATGATTAAAGTCAAATAAAAATCTGGTCAGCAATCGGATCTCACAGCTCAATTGGTAGAGCACCGATCGGGAAACCTGATGGTCACTGGTTCGAATCTTTAGTCATCCATCATCCAGGTTTCAGTAACATAATGGTAATTAATGTCAGTCTTGTGTCCTTATGAATTCACTTTCAGTAGGTCGAATGATTAGTTAGTATTAGTACACTACAATTAACTGCTGCTGTGTAGCGAGTTACATTGGGCGTACAATGAGGCAGTTCCATCATCGAATTTCTGTGCACCACCCATCATGGTTGAACAAGGGACAAATTACAACTATAAAGAGCTCCATACTTGCACACTTAGTTGACACAGGACATCAAGTGGTTACTGGAAAGGCCTTCAAAATTACCCATCAGATTCCAATTAATTTACCTCATGGATTACGCACTCGGTTACTTCACATGGCAGAAGTGATTGCAATCCACCTTTACAAGCCTAGCCTTTGTATTTAAAAGAAGTTTGTTTGACCACTTTCATTGCCGTGGCCGTCAACATGATGTAACTTCTAGGTTGACTTTGTACACCTCTTCCCCCTTCTTGTTTCTATCAATATTCATATTTCCCATTTTAATAACTCTACTGATTATTAACATCATTATTTCCGAAACACCACGTGATTGGTAATTTGATTAAATTGTAAGATTATGTATTAGTGTAGAGCCCAAGGGGAAGATCTTATTGAAATGAAATATATTTCTTCGCTCAATCAGTCTTTTTCTAAATGTCTAAATGGGAATATTCAACATAAGAATGATTCAAAATACTAAATAACTACTACTCTTACTTACTTTAGCAACTTTTCCATACTTCGAAATATCCTGTATAATATCATCTTGATCCAAAAGAAATTTGATTTCAAGCTTTCTAAAAAACATCAGATAAAAATGTACTTATATAATAATTCAAGTGAATTGTATGAATTATTGTAAGGAATATAATAAATGTGAACAATCCAAGAACAAAGACATTTGTAGAATAAAATCAACTCATTTGATTTCACCGCCTTTCATCAGCTGCAAACAGCCTACAACTGAAACAAAATATTAGTAGCAACTATCATACAACACTCTAAATATGTAGAAATAAATGGAGATTAGAAACCCAGGATCAAAAATAAGGTGTCGAGGGAACATAGGATTATTAATTACAAATCTCAGGAAAAATAAATAAGAGTTTATATCTTGTGAGATAGGAAATTCTGAAGTTGTGGAGTATGGGGGGGGGAATCAGTGAAAAAAGGAACTGTATTTTTGAGATGAATGGGGATTTTTAATTTAGGCGCAGTATTCATCATGGACTGACATCAGTTAGGGAACCATTGAAAATCTGGGAGCATTGGACAGCTGTTTCGTTCTAGTATGGGACTCCTCAGCAGTACGCACCCACGACCCGGCTAGGGATCGAACCCGGGACCTTCAGGTTTCACGGCGAACGCGTTAACCATTCGGCTCCCAGATTCTCAATGGTTCCCTAACTGATGTCAGTCCATGATGAATACTACGTCTAAAAAAGGAACTGTTTAAGAGCTAATAGGTTACGTAGTTACATGAAAAACCGGAAAATCGTTAGGTGATTAGCGATCGGTAAGCAATTAATGAAGGGAAAACCGTATACATAAACATGTAGAAATTATATACAATTACCAAGGTAAAGAAAGGTTATTTATCGTGTCTTTCTGAGTTCATAGGCCAGGTTGAAAACGCTTGGTAGCGACAGCTTCCTCAGAAAACCATAATAAACATAGCATCCTTTGTTTGTTGATTATCCTGAAAGATTGATGTCCTGTTTCCATCAAATGCCTTGTGATTACCCCGTCAAGAACTTTTCTACCACTCACACGCAGATGAAAGGCGAATGTCTTTCTTATTGTATTGTTCACATTTGTCAAGGAACTAAATATGTGATATAATAAAGTTGCTGACAAATTCAGGCACACTGAATAATCAATCAATCATAATACACTTCAGTTTGAACACAACTTGGGAATTGAAGAGATTTCTTACGTAGCACAGTATTGCTTTGCTCGAAGGGACGAGAATGACTTGAATAATAAGAATCGTTAAAGTATCCAACAAATTACATCACACTCACTTTTCATATGCTGTCAGGTGGTGAACAGCTATCTCTCGTAAACACAATATTCCAAAACATAAAAATACATAGGTGAACCAAACCGTCATAATTGTGTCATTAACGGGCATTGTTGAATGTCAATGGAAAGACATGCTGTTAGATCACAGACAGAGATGTTGTGTTAAGCCCGATACGAAAAGTTCTGTTCAACCTCCACATCACCGTATCCTTAGGTTTCGTCTCAAGTGTCAGTGGACTCAGGGCGGCCTAAGTCTTTACAACAACTGGTGAGGAATCATGCTTCTGTCCACACAAAACCAGCAAAATATTATGCCACATCATCCTGGAGAGACTAAACCATATGCTGGATTCAGGAAGAACAAATCATGTGTGCATCAAATTGCAACGCTACGCTACTCTACGCATCATCATAGAACACAGTGTAGAATGGCAGTCAACTCAACTCAACTCAACTCAACCTCAAATTCATCGACTTTGAAAAGGTCTTCGACAGCGTCAACCAACAAGTAATTTGTCAGGCAGTTGCTTAAACACTACGGAATACCACCAGTCTTGATCAACCTGATTCAACAACTATATGAAGACGCCACATGCCAAGTAATTGACAATGAGAAGCTCAGTGGTGTCGTTGAAGTGAAGACAGGAGTGGAGTAAGACAAGGCTGTCTACTATCACCGATCATCTTCGTGATTGTGGTGGACTGAACTCGACTGGACTCGACTGGACTCGACTCGACTCGACTGGACGGGATCATGCAACAACCAGTGAGGAGGGAGAAGAGGGGGATATGCTGGCTAGACTGGGGAAAATATCCTAGAAGATTTGGATTTCGCCGATGACTTGTGTCTAATGTCACACAAACTTGAAGATCTACAGGCGAAAACTAGCAAGTTGATAAAAGAGGTGAGGTGAGGTGAGGTGAGGCGAGGCAGGGCAGCGAAGACGGGACTTCAAGTGAATGCAGGGAAGATAGAGGTAGGTGCTGAAGATACCCAACCAACGTTGCCACCACCACCACCAACAAGCATCAACTAATATTAATGCGAGAAACTTAAAGGAAGTAGTCTCTTTCACCTACCTGTCCAGACAGCATCGTTTCAGCTACAGGCGGTGATGGCACAGACGAGGATGTCAAAGCTAGCCAGAATCGGAAAAGGAAGACAGGCATTCATTAACCTGAAAACAGTGTGGAGATCTTCTGCACTCAGCATGTGGAACAACATACGGATTTTCAACTCTAATCCCAGTCAAGTCAGTGCTCCGGTATGGTTCACAGACTTGACGTGTTACGAAAGGCAGTTCCAACAAACTACAGTCATTCATCAACAACTGCCTACATTGGCTCGTTACTGAAGATCAGATGGCCAGAATAAAAAGAATAAGCAACAAGGAAGTCTGGCTGGTGACGAACGACCAAGAAGGTATCGCTGAACAAATATGCATTGGAAGGAAGTGGAGATGGGTTTGGCGCACACTGAGAAGGCCGACTGGGGACATCACGAGTCAGGTCCTCGAGTGGTACCCAGATGGGAAGAGACGAGTTGGGTGTCCGAGGTGAGGGTGACACGGAGGAGATGGTGCGAGGAAGAAATGAAAGTTTGTGGGCTGTCGTGGAGCCAGGTTGAAAGGTTTGCAGAGAAGAGAGTGGAGTGGAGACGTGGTAGTGAAGCCCTATGTTCCATTAGGAACCCAAGGGACAAATAATAATAATAATAATAATAATAATAATAATAATAATAATAATAATAATGATAATAATATCAGTGCACTCATTTAAAGTAGAATTGTTGTGTTCTCTGTGGCTATCTGAAAAATAGTCACCTTCATGCAACTGGCCTTACCTTTATCTCTGATTCGTATAAATTTTAATTTAAATGTTGACCTTTATAAAAACAGAAGTGTTCATGAATAAGCATATACTTCCAATTAGATAAGGCGTTCACTTTTGATTCTCTTCGTGAAAATGAGTCATAAAGCATTCCAATGGTAACTGAGATTAGTTTTCATCATGGGTTGACATCAGTTAAAGAACCATTGAAAACCTAGGAGCACTGAACACCTGTTCTATCTCAGTACGAAACTCATCAACAATGAAAACCGAAGATCTGTGAGAAGTTGAGCTCAGATCCTCCAAATCTCGTAGTGAGAACTTCATCCTTCAACCACTGAATTATTATCCACTGATCTCATTGCTGTCAACTTGCAGACAGTATGACTCCCGGCTTGATTGTCTCCTCGAGTTACGACAATCTACTAAGACTGCACAAAGTTGATCTGGAATTGTGTTAATAATCAATTTTTTCTTATTTTGTGTCACTCCGGAATGGAAATTACTTTTAAAGGGGTTAACTGAAAACCTCAAAGTTAACTAGGCGATGATTAAAGTCAAATATTCATCAGTTTGATTAAGAACAACTAGCTAATATTGGCCTTGCAGTTATATATTTGAAATGAGAAGGAGTTGAAGCTAGAAATATCTAGCCGTTTATCACTTTCTAACTTTCAACAGCTCTTTACACTCTATTAGCTTTCACTAGAGTTGATCTTGGTGTTTTTACAACTCAAGCTTCCCCACTGTTGATTTACACAATTGGATAGGTTTTTTTAGTTCGATATTCTATGGCCTATTTGTATACGTGTCTTTATTACAGTGTAATGATTAGAATCCTACTTCAATTTTACCCTTCAATGAATGAATTATGGAATGGAATTTAACCATATCCATAATCTCACTTGGGTTCGAACCAGGACCTTCGGGTCCTGTGATCAGCACGTCATCATTGAGCCACTAGTCTAAAATCCGTTGGTATATACTTTCTGTTTCTGTCAGTTCACGATACAGTGCAATCTCTATCTAGTACCGTCAGAAATTTCAACCTCCATATGTCACATTTTAACTCATACATCTTTTAAAGAAGTCGGTGTTAGCCATACACTACATAGATTTCCACTTTGATGATAGGTATATTTTAAGGTTGAAGATAAATTGATCATTGATCTGAGCATTTACATGTCATATTTGTTACATTACTTAACAGCACACTGATAGATAAGTTCATTATATGAGCATCACATTATACTAATTATTCTAATCCATTTTCAAAGTTTGTATTATCTTGACACTCTAATAAACCATTACAAGAATAAGAATTTTGTTAAAGTGACACACAAACTTGCCTTTAACTGACTTAAATCTAGTTGTGTAACCTTATAATAATTGACTTCGTTATTCATTGATCTATATGTTTGAACGTGTTATTGACAGTTGGTGTGAAGTGATTTGTGTTGTTTCTCCGACCTACTTGCAGTCTGTCATAGATACATATACACATACTGCATGCAGCTATATACACAGCGAAGGATCTGTTGTCTTATCTTAAGACCTGTCGTCAGAAACCAGCGACTGACTGTGTTACCATTTTACCTACAGATAACTTGGATCCGACTAGAGTTGATTCTGTTTCCGGTCATCTGCTTTCAAGTAGTCGGTAATTGAAGATCCTGAGTAATACAGCTGTGAATGCATAATGATGATGTAAGTGCATAAAACTTTACCTTTATATTTCTACCAGGCCAACTTATGTACTGCCTTTATTACTTTCCAACTCTAACTACTTGTTTATCACGAAAATATAGAGAATGAAACCGACAGGGGGGTCTTTTCCTATGTTCTATGATGTACAATGTGTCTGCACTTTACTTTGAACCATCACTTGACAAATTCGAGTCGAACTAAACCAGAGATGTTCGAGCGGTTGACTAGTATTTTA